TAGATATATATATATATACAATTCTTATGGTTGTACGGCAGTGAAGCATCAATGGCAACACTGATGTTGCTGTCTTTGATGATGATGATGATGATGGACCTTCAACCATTGGCCAACATGATATGCAAGGCTCTGTGAGTGTCACACACTCCCCGGTATAGCTCACTGGGTTGTGGGCATGCACACACTGACACATCCTCTTCGTAACGGTCATATCTGAAAGCCCTGGCGTAAAGCTGTCACCTAGATGTGATGGTCGGGCTTGAGTGCTACAATTATCCCATGGTCTTCACTATCTGGAGCTTCGTTTCATAACGTGCAACCATGAAAAAACATTCAGCTGTAGCACCCCTTCGGTGCCTAACCACCATGCTACCTGTAGGCTTTGATACTTGCAACTTGCCCAATTCTAGATGGGGAAAGTCGAAAGGCAGAGGTCGGCTTCGAACCAAGGACCTTCCGGTTTGTAAATTCGTGCCATCTCACCACCATGCCAGGAAGGCCAGAGGGGAGCACTCAGCCCAAGAGCGGCGAGACATCGTACTACGAGGAGGTCTCTGGGCGGAGTCATACTATTCTCTTCGATAGGAGTGTAAAGTCAGTAAAGTATTTCCTTCAAGTGAACACCATTGCCATATTCATGAAAGCAACGGTGCTGCCTTCCCCCGAGGAAGGACAGGTTAGAAAAGGTTGGCCCTATAAATCACACACTCCTATCGCCCAACGGCTGACCGTGACCCACCATGCATTATTCAGTACGGTTGAACCAGAGTCCGGTGCTACTCAAAAGGCACCTTCTGTGCACAGCTGCACTAGGAGTGAGGCAGTAGTACCCTATTCCCTGCGCTCTCCGGCCAGGCTGGCCCCCTACAACCAAACAGGTCAGACTTTTGAGTCATTGGCTCCGGGAAGGGTACCCAGAGAAAACCCTACTTTCCACTGCCTCGCGGATCAGAATTTCGTATCAGAGGCTAGGGACACTGTTTAAGAACAAAGTCCTACATTTTCCCATTGCCTTGTGGGCTAGACTTTTGAGTCAAAGGCTCAAGGTGGGGTTACATAAACCAAACCCCTTTCCTCGCCATGGGTGACCGGGAAGTGTCATTCTCCCTTGCAGCTCTTCGCTCACCGGTCCTCCCCTACATAGGGATGGCTCAATTGTTAGAGCGCGAATTTACTAAGCGGAAGACCCTTGGTCCCAACCCGACTTTCACATCTTGACTTCTTTCTAGGCTTGGACAACTTGGCAGCATTCAAGCCTTCGTGCTTCCTTCGGTTGGCATGGTAGCTAAGCGCTGAGTTTTACAACTGAATGATTTTATCTTTTTCTTACCTTGCCTCCTGTCTCCACCCATTAGAATGATTCAGTACCATCAACCCGTCTGCCAACCCCCCTAGACACTGTTCCATGTTTGAAAGTTCGCCCAGAAAAATAATTCAAAATGATCACTTACCAACCTCAAAAGATCTGATCCACGTTGCAGCCTTTAACGTCCGTACTCTATGTCAAATTGGGCAACAGACATCCCTTGCTGAAACCTTGATTTTCTTCTCTATCGATGTATGTTGTGACTCCAAAACACGAATACAACACTCCACTTCGGTCGTCATCTCAGCTGCTTAGGACGAGCCCAGATGTTCCACATTTCACTCTTCGGGTATCTGATGATCCTGACACAATGTCTCATGGAATCTACAGTGTGGGAGTTGCACTCAACCCCAAGGCTGAAAACGCTTTACTGGACTGGTTCCTAGTAAGCATTCATCTTTGTGCTGTGCGGTCATCTGAATCAATTAGGATCAATGAAGGTCGTTTCGATAAACGATGTTTTCTTATCGTACCGACATACACCATGACAGACAGCAGAATGACGGATTTTATCGAGATCCGTCACGATTGCTTTGGTCAGCAAGAAGGACGGATAATGTAATCCTAGGGGCTGATATGAATGCTCAAGCTAGTCAGCTAAGTCCGAAAGAAGCACAATTAAGCGCTAGATCTTGAGTTTGTGCTCAGCGTACGGATAATGGGGTGCGACTGCTTCAGTTTTATGCTAACCATGGTGTATTCCTGGCCAGTACAAACTTCCAACATGAACGGTCACATCGAGCTACTTGTGGGCCACCAACCGCAAGATAGTTATGAACTCAATTGGACCATGTGGCTATCAGTTGCCGATGGAGAGCGTCAATAAAAGAGTATCCTTCCTTCTGGGGTACGCAACTTGACTGTGACCATGCCGTTGTGAGAGCCCGCTTATCACTTCGCTTTCCATTGGCATTACGTGTGCTAAAGCAGAGCAGTTCCATTTATCACCTTTGACAAGTTTCAGTAGTTCAAGCTTATCGAGCTGACCTGGCTAGAGAGCTATTGGAACCGCACGGTCATGCTTGGAGTTCGCTTGGAGATTGAATGAAAGCGGGTGAAAGAAGCTATGATCTCAGCTTTTAAAACTAGACTAAATAACACTGGGTATCTTCGAGATCAACATATTTTATTGCCAGAAAGGCCATACCAACAGCGAACGATTGTGATAGTACATTCATATCCCTCGAACGCCGGATAATCAGGAGCTTGAAGAATGACAGAACGCTTGTGAATTTCGAAGGCCCAGGAGATTGAGAAGGCCTTCGCTTCAGGCAACAGCCACGCCCTACTTCAGCTGATTTGATCAGCCGGTCAAAAGAATACAAGTTTCGGCGAAACGATGTGCGAAAACCGGAACGGTTATTCACTCCCTCGACCATCCTCTTGGGCGATGAGCCGAGCACTCCCAAGAGTAGTTCAGCTAGTCTCCTTCAATACAACTAGAAGAACCCAACGGGCCTGAATGGAACACCGACACTAGCCCGCGGTCAACAACAAAAATCCATTGTGATATATGAATCCTCAGGAGCAACAAGGCACCCGATGCAGATGGCCTAAATCCTCCTTCAGATGCCTCACGTTGGTCGCTTTTCCCATGTGAAAACTGCCTTTGACTCTGTCGGTCGGCAGAAACTTTGGCAGTCTAGCGATAAAAGGATTCCCTCTCAAATTTACATCCATTATGAGGGCTCTGTATGGGAAGTCCTGTGGGCGTGTACGAATATACGACAAGCTCTGGCCTGAGTTCACCAAGTCTGGTGGTTTAAGACAGGACTGCCCTCCCTCATCTTTCCTCTTCGACCTTGTTATTGATGTGCTGCTTGAAATTTCCCTGCGTACCTCTAAAATTTTGGGGGTCGATATGTTCCCCGGGACGTTCCCTCACAGACATTGAGTATGCAGACGATATTGCTATCCTTGGTTCAAATCCTTCAAGAATGCAAACCATCTTAAATAACCGAATAAATAACAAACCCAAATCTTAAATAACCCATCTTAAATAACCCTGCCGCACGGTTTGGAATGCGTGCCTGCCAAGTTTAAAGCGCTGCTCAAAGACTGGTTGGGATCAGACACAAACCTCATGCTTGCAGATGAGCCAATCGACGTGTTAGATAAATGTGTTTACCTAGGCAGTTGTATAAGTTCCGGTGAACTGGCTGGAGTTCATATTACTTCTCGGATCGGGAAAGCCGGGGTAGCTTCTGCCGATCTCCGACATTTATGGAGCCGACGTGAATTCAGTTTGTTTGTTAGAGGCAGAGTTTACACTGGGGCAGTACGATTCATACTGTTTTGTCGATCAGAAACGTGGCCTCTACGCACAGATGACATACAAAAGACGTCAGTGTTTGACCATCGGTGTCTTCGAAGCATTGGTCCGGTCTGGTGGGAACGTCGCATTAGTAATGTTGAAGTACGCTAGATGGTCCTAAGAAGAATAAACTCTCCCGCTATAGATGAATTACTCACGCTTCATAGGTTAGCTGGTTAAGGCATGTACTCCGCATTCCAAAAGTCAGTCTCCCTCGCAAAGCTCTTTTGGCCAAGCCCTGTGCTGAGAGATGTGAACAGTGTATGACCCGGCGACGAAGTATGGAAATACTAACCAGTATACTGAGTCTTGTGGACAAATACCTGGATGGGGATCCCGGCAACCAACTCACCAGTGCTTAATAACACTGGCAGAAATGGTCCGATCGCCCAGTCAGTGACGCTGGTACATCAAATTCCTCGCCTTGAGCCCGTAGCTACCCAGTAGCCACTACGTCCAAGATTTGTCTGTGTGTCCCACACTCTCCCACTTTCCGGTGATCAAAACTGTAGCAGCTGAAACAAATGTGCCTATGATACACCGTTTATAGATGATAAATCGAAATGAATTGAATTGGCCAGTCCATGGCTTGATAACAAATCATGCAAGCTCTTGCCAGTCAACTTAGTCGCTTTGGTAACTTCCGGGGACGATATAAACCAATCGGTATTGACTTGACTTATCTGATGGTAACCTGCATCAAAGCTATTGTTCTTAATGTATGACGGTGCCCCTACCTTATTAGACGATCGGAGCAATTCGCTTTAAGTGCATTGGTCGGACTGTCGTCTCCGACGCATGGTTCTTTTTCTTTTTTTCCTGATACTTGATTAACGAAGCCTACTGCAGTTCACGGCTTGTAGCTGACAAGTTGGACTGAAATGGACCTTTTCCTCGATACGTCATTTAATTCAAGACACTTTTCTTGCTGGTAGAAGACCGGCAATCCAATCAATTGGTTGGGTTGTACACAGCCCAATGACGACAACAATGGTCTACCAGTTAGCAACCTAGGAATGTGATTCGCCGACCTACTCGAAATCATGCTTGGTGCCCCGGATGCGCGTCTCACTTACCTGTGTATCAGGTAAGCTAGTAACCTTGTTTGTATAAGCGCGGGCCTTATGCCCCTATGGTTGGAACAGTCAGTCCGGATAATTTTCGCATAAAGTGTGACGGCTGAAGAGCTGAAACTTGTTCTTGTTTCCAGATAACTTTGAGCAATTTCTGAACCGAAGAATACAAGTATTCACAACTATCTTTGGAAGGCACGCTAGGGGAGGAATGAGGCTTATGGCGAAAGCCCTTCGCAAACCTTTGAAGAAAGTGGTCAGAAGAAAAGGGTTTACAGCTTCGCATATTAGCACATCTGAGCATCATGTTTTAGCAAAACCCCTAATATACTAGTCAACCTTACAACACAGCACACGTTGACAGGTAAACCTCAGATGGATTGCCAGTCTAGATGGACTGATCTCTAAGTAGACGAGTGATGTATAACGTCCTGTAGAGTTTGAAATTTCGCCAACGGGGATCCGCATAGACCCAAATAGTGGTAGTTGACGGATGTCGTAGCACCAAGTTCGACAGTAGTTGCTTCCATCTCGTTTGTCATAGCCCGCTCACGTTAACCCTCCGCCGGCTTGGATTAACAGAAAACAACCTTTATTTTGGAGGGTGGTTAGTCGGCTTTTATAGCACCTGTATCAATCAACCTGATGTATGTCGTTCCAAGCTGTTTGATTCGTTGCACAGTATTCGATTACATGCCACTTGATTGTGAACTCGCTCAACCACCTAGTCGAATGCTTAAAGACATTTCATAGGCAAATGTGGCCCACTAGGACCATCATCACCCTTGTTAACAGCATCACGTCAGTGGCGACCATTAATGTCTCACTATGGGAACTGTAATGCATATGAGGACCACCGACTGTATGTGAACAATAAATGTAGTTTTCGGAATTTTCAGGGTTTTGCCCCAATGTTGTCTCACAGATCGCTGCTGCCCGTGAGACTTCCAGGTATGCTGATGCCCATTGAACACAAAACTCATAATTCATTTTGGGTCTTAAAGTCCATACCAAAGCCTCTCAGTGTTATCTTTCCTCTGGACAAATTTAAAATCAATTGGCGATAGTCGACTCTGGTTCAGCATTGAAGGTCTTTCTCATTATGGTTTTCAGCACGTTTTAATTTGTTCGGTCAGTTTTAGTTTCAGCACATAGTGTTCATCCATTGGGTTGGGATCCCATCCAGTCATCACTGAGGTTTTTGACTGGCTGCCTGCTTGTTAAGTTGAGTGAACGGGTTCATTGTCCAGGACTTCACAGTAGACGGTTACTTTGATGTCCGCCTTAGTGCATATTTAGTGAGGGATGAAGATGTCCTTTTTCCGATGATCCACTCTTGAAATCGATCGATTTCCAATACTCCAACAATATGAATGTGTTTGCAAAACCTCTTCAACGCCAAAGTCCGCACAAGCACAGCACAGTTCAGCATCCATCTTCAAAGCAGCAGTAACAAGATAGCAGCTTCCATGAGTTTGCTTGCAGTCAAGTGTACATGGAGAGGTCGATTATCAGTTTATACAAATCCACCCTAGAGGGTGTTTTTAGTGAGTAGTTTACCGAATTCTGCTGTCAGTTGGAAATCATACTGGCGGTGGTGGCCACTATCATGCTTGCTTTATACCCATTTTGATTCTGTGTTTCAGGACTGTTATTGGTCTCGTTTAGAGGAATCGGCGGCCCCCAGTGGCTCTGCTTCGTTAAACTACAAAGCAATCTGTTGGTTATTTCCTCACTTGAATGGCTTTTTGTGGAGATAAAAGTGAGTCGGTCTTTCCTTATTCCTAAGCCTTCGTGTCAATGTTTTGTTTGAGGAGTATGGAAAATTGTTTTCTTTTCTTACATGCTTTTTTCCAACTCATCAACAGAGGACACACTGCCCGCGTTGGAGGACATTTGTGTGCGATACATATGCAAGAATTTGAGTGATCTCACCTACTTGGATCTGAGTGGACCAAAAACTAGGCGAAAATGGAAATTTCCCTACCCCGAATTCCACATTACCCCTCGCCCTGCACAGAAAATACTATTACAACTGTGCAAACGAAATGCTTTGGATGATGAGCGAATGTCTCTTTTTTCTGCCGAGTATGTTAATCTGATATCACCAACGATAAAAGAGACAAACGTGAGTGCAGAAGCTTTACGTGCTCTCAGAGATTTTCGTCTTTCCAATCTTTCGGTTGTCAACCTTCCTAATGTAAACCTGAACAGTGTTCTCGGTTGTCTTGGCGAATGGACTCTACGCAATCTGACCAGTTTAAATGTAACTGGCATTTCAATTCTCACTGGCATGAATATCCCCATATTTTTCCCGCTGGGGAGGTTCAAGAATTTACAACTGCTCAATGTCAGTCGAACGGAATTCTCAACGACCGATTTGCAAATTGTCGCTGACGATCTCCCTAACGTGCAGTTTCTGAATATTTCGCGTACCTCTGTTTCCGACGTCTCACCTCTCCTATCTATGCGTGATCGATTGACTGGTCTGATTATGCATCGTCTGGAATTGGAGCAGAAAGAGGACGTAGAGAATATGTTATCAGTGGTAGTACAACTGCACCAACTGCGCACCCTGGATGTGTCTGATAAACCCAGACCGTCTGGTTCCCGCTTGGATGCTGTTGACATCTTGTGCACCGCCAATACTCTGCCCTGTCTGGTTAGCATTGATCTTTCTGGAAACCAATTCGGATTGAAGCTGGAAGATGCCAGGTGAGTATTCTTTCTTCATTTTTCCCGACTGCTGTACCTGTTTTAGGTTGTTGATCAAGAACCATCCAAATCTGGCATTCGCCGGGTTTGCTTCTTGGCTATCTAGTCACGAGCACGAGCTGGAGGGAATCCACAGACTGTCCCTGAAGTATCCAGATATAATAGTAAGTTGGCTAGGCCTATCTTATAAGTTATGGGAAGGGCAAAAGCAACAATGGGCCCAGAGCCTTCGTTCATCTTATCAGTATCATATGTCTGTTTGCGACATTTTCTTGCGCCTTTCCTTCATTAGCGTCCTCAAGTTTGTTTCGACTAATCTTCAAAGGCTTATGATTATTATGCATTTTGTATGTCATTTGTACGCTATAATCAGTGTTTGGGTCATCATCTTTTCGTTGGGTTTACTCAGTGCTGTTTGTGTGCGGTTTTCTAACTTAACTGAGTGTCCCCACCACTGGAAGATCTTTATAAGGTGGTAGTCAGCAATCCTGCGAGATTGCTCAGTGGTTAAGGCGCAAATTTACTGACCAGAAGGTCAGTGGTTCGAACCCGACCTCTGCTTCTCGACTTTCCCTGTCTGGCAGTATCCTAGCCCTCGTGCTTCCTTCTGGCAGCATGGCAGCTAGGTACAGAAAGGTTGCTGCATTTGAACGATTTTTTTGTTTGAATTAATTCGCTGCATGTACACCCGTTTATGTGGATTAATGTCATTGGCGTCGCACTTTTCTTCCGTGACCTACACGGTCGATATTACCGGAGATTGTAGCCCGTCAAGTATGCTGACAGGCCGGCATTATCCTCCTCTATTCTGTTTACGCAGTTTTAAGGTGATTTCAGAAAGCATGTGTGTTATAAATCGTACAGGGCCCCTACGGATGTCGCTTTTCATCGTCCATCAGATGCTGGGTGACCGCGGTGATCAACTTCTTTTGAACACACTGACCCGGAACAAAGATCGTGCCATCTACCTCCAAAACGCACTGCACAGCATCTTTGAAGCAACAAGCAACAGAGAAACGCTAAAGCCAGATTTGCTGCAGGTGAGTATCGTTCGCTTTTCACATAAGCCTATTTGATATGTTAAAAACCATTTATCTTTACAATTGACCACTTGAACCCAAACGTGTGCTAGGTTGTAAATCTAGGCAATTTACTGTTGCTCAGTTATCTTGAAGAGCCCTGATTCCACGGATGAAACACCGTTTACACTGTCTACCGACTAACCAAAATTATGAATCCCAAACCAATTACTTGTTACGATCGTGCGAAAAGGTTTTGAACCGGTCCAAGGTCTACTTGGCTTGAAGTTCTGGTTAGGATTCGGAATAGTAACTCTTTGGCTTCCAAAATACATGACCAAAACCAAGTTTTACGGTTACCCGGTGCGTCCACTTGTCAGATGGGCTACTACGAACATACTAGTTCAGCACAGTTTATCTGGTTCAACCTTGAACTTGCAGGATTGTACTGTTTTCCGGGTCGCATTAGCGTATAACTGTCCATGATAAGATCTGTAGGGATTTAAAGGTTATAGAGGGGTTAAAGCTTAAAGGACGTAGATGATATCATCATCATCATCATCGACAGCATGACATCAGTGTTCAACACCGATGCTTTACTGCCGTACAACCATGATTTATTTGAAAGCCTTATTGTAAAGAAAAGAAGGGAAGGGACTTAATGCTAGCTTACCACAATCATTCCGAGGTGCCTACACCTCCAGACATTCACTCAGGCAATCTGGATAGAACCTGACAACAAGAACGCCACTGACATCGGTTGGCAGCCATATCTTGTAGTGTCTCCA